TCACTATGTTATTCAACATTGACATTGTCAACGGTAAGGCACACTGGGGCGCATTGCGGCTTGATGGGTTTACCAGAGACATTGTCAAATTTTTTGGTCAACCCATTAAGCTGCAGAGTTTCCCCATTGACGAGCAAAATCGTTTGGCGTTAGACAAGTGAAAAAAAAGTAGAGCGCACTGGGGCGCGTTGTGGCTCAATGGGTTAATATATCAGAGAACAATATTTAAAAACATTGTAGCGTATTTCTTTGTTTTTTTTACCACTAGTGTGGAACTAATGACTTCGACACAAAAGAAAATGCTATACGGTACGTTAAGCCTAGTTTCCATTTGGTCGTTAGTTGTCGCTGGCACGACAAGCGGTAGATGTGAAATAGTCTAATATAATAATAGTCGTTTTGTGGGTTATATGCAAATCAGTCTTAATGATTGCAGAATTTTGTAAAGTTTTGTTGACACTCTATTACATCAGCCACTTGTCGTGCCAGCGACAACTAACGACCAAATGGAAACTAGGCTTAACGATACGGTTGGAGTGGAAAACCGGCTTTATACGGATCTCACCAAACTGAGGAAGCAACGTCAATAATTCTTATCGCTTTTCCACACCTAGATATTCTTGATTCAAATGAGTATAAATAATATGTGTTTCAGCACCAGATGAATTCTTGCTTAAAAAAACCGTGCAAAAGTGGATATGCATATTGGGATCACCCATCAGGAGTGAATGTCCAAGTGGATTTTCATGGATCCTTCAGGTACTAAGTTAATTAGTTTATAGGCTACCTATTTCCATTTGTCTGTTATAATTCCTGAATAAATTAGACGCCTTAGTTAAATGAAGTCTACTAGTAGTTAAAGCCGTTTAGAGAACTTTAATAGACGCGTTTCAAAAAACCCGACATGCAAGATTAAAAACACAGGAAGATAGGGGTTAAATAATGAGATTCTAATTCTTATTGGTCGAAAGCTCTGACGTGGGCTTTTGCCATTGATGACATCATTTTTAAAGCCAGTCACAGCTCGCTCAGATGCATTATCAAGTGAATTAATGGTGTCGTATCCTTTTCATCGGCAACTCTTTCTTTTGCGCTTCAAAGCTCGTCGCCATCTTTCCTCGTTGTCTTTAGTACATGATGACATCATTTGTATACTCATATAACTGAACAGAGAATGAAAAAATCTTATTTATTTGTTAAGACACGGTATATCTTACATTGTAAAATTTCTACTGGCAAACTTTGAACCTTTCAACCGTCAACGGCTAATATCATCAGCGTACCATTGTGTAGTATATTACTTTGGTCATTTCAATGTTATCAAAAAGAGTTAATTCAAGTCGAGCATTGAATACTGAGTTTCGTATAAATGACGTGATTTGCCGCAGGTTGTATTTTTGGAGTGCTGATTTATTACAAACCTCTCAATGGCCTTTTTGCTGTTAAACGACAAGATAAATGCCAATTCAGTTTAGATATATGTATCGTTCAAAGGGTTCTTAACGGTCTCACATTCCTCTAGTGGACGTAAAAACGAAAACCCAATGGAAATAAAATCAAACTCGTTGGTTATTTTTAGTGTTTTATATTTACAATATTTCATTTTTTGCTATAGTTTCAGTGTTTCTGGTAATCATTCGGGAGTGAAGCATGATGCAACTGCATTTGTTGGTTGTTCACAGAACCAGGTAACAGCTACAGTATATAGGTTTTGATGGTAGGGAAACTAAAGGCCGGGTTAGTTTATAATACGAATTGAAATTTGGAAGGGAACTAAACTATTTGTCATGCAATTGTCAAAACTATCAAATTACAAATACACATTACGTAACCATTATAAGAAGAAGCGCCTCAAAAGTAGTAGATATTAAAATTTTAATAACCCAACTTAAATGAAGAAGAAAAGCGTTTGAAAAATTGCCAATGAATATTTTCTGGATTTTTCATGCTTATAGCTGTCCCATACATTCTGATTCATAAGCAACATTTGGCTTAATAATTGATATAATAACATTATAAAATTAGTGACTTAATTATTCTCTGGAATTGAGTTGCTTCTACTCATGCCCTTGTTGACTCAGCACTTATAATTAATTGCCACTATATGTGAAAACTACCCTACACGAAACCTCGCGAGACTGGTGTCCATGTAACCATGGAACTGAAAAAATAAGAGTTCAAAGCGGATCGTTTAGTAAAATACCAACAACTGTCACTCAAACACCACCAACGAACCCAAATTAAAAGTATTCTTCTCTTATTTAAGATATGTTGCGGATGTTTTGGCCCAGTTGGTGGTACGGATGATTACTGCAATCCTGACTGTACGGCTAAAAATGGCGGAACTGTTAAAAAGGACACTTACACATGGTTTTGGGTTAGGACATCTCTTCCGAAACGTGTTTGGCACAGATGTATGGAATACAAAGTGAAGAATGAAAATGGCGACATGGTCTCGTACAAATTGTTGGATGGAAATACCACACCTGAAAAGGTAACAGTTAAAAGGCAACTCGAAATAATGGTTTCTGATTTACTGAAAACTAAAGAAAGAATGATACCTTTTGGTTTTCACGTGAAGTCGATTAATTTACTAAGAATATAATTTCTGAATTGTCTCAACCACAATCAAATCCAAAGTCTCTTGATTTACGTATGCCGTAAGTGAAGTAAGTCTCAACCGTTAAAAAATCTTTCACGTATTAATGGACGAAGTTGATTTTTTTGAAAATGGCCAACAATATCGTTATTTTTTATTTTTTGCAGGGTGGCTGTCCTAAAGATGATGTCTTGTTAAATGAAGGTGTAAGTGACATGCTAATGCTAATATTTCAAAGATTAGAGCCATAAGAGTAATGTATTGCAAAGGTGGAAGGAGAATATTTTCTATTTCATATTCAATATTCCTTCGTACAATGTTCTTGAAATATGAACTTTAAAATACATTTCTATAAAAAAATATTCATGAATATTCAAACTACAATTTATTTTTAAATGTGTATTTGGCCCCATATTTATTTTTAAAAAACCTAGTATTCAATATTCCAGTATTAATTCCGTTTCAACCCATGCAGGATTATATAATTCATATCTTATACCTCTACCTCACATTATATAACTGACAGCCCTTGTTCATTTCTTACTACAGTATCCTTTATAACAAAAATTACTCCTATTGTAGCTTAATCGAAAATTTTAATCACACGTATTGCACAGACGCGTAGACCCTTATATACATGATGCGTTTGCCTCTCTTCAGATTGTCGTAGTTCCAGATAGTGAGACAGAAAAGAAAGTGCCTGCAATTCCTGGATTGTTAGAATATCGCAAAGATAATAAGGAACTTTATGTAAGATCTGATAAAACATGGAATGTTATCGCACAGGAAAGCAAGGTATTTTATTGGAAATTATATTTAGCCGGAAATCTCATTATGATTTTGTTAGTTGAAATATCCGAATAATTATCAATAGATATTTGGCAAACGCAGTCGTACCGATATTACTTTATTTTGCTCCATGCATAGTTTTACTTTTGTTTATAAACTTACTAATCTTGATATATGTTACTGTTCATAAGTTATTCCGTGAGTCTAGGACCTGTATATGAGTTTGTATGCATTTCATTTAGGACAGATAATCTCAACTGTTTTAGGGCAAGTTGACCATGACGGTCAACATGGTAACGCTGCCCGAACCCCAATCCGGGACGAAACGTCCGAAACTGA